GGAGGAGGTTTTGGGGTCATGGATACAGCCCTGCTGCTGCTATTTAGGGATGAAAGAGTTGCTCCTAGCATCAACTATGGCCTCTTCCCCTTTTCTCTTTTCAGTTTTTGCCACACAATCCATTGAGCAGGGTGAAGGGAGGACAGAGTAAAATTGATACATTGTTCAAACATGCGTTGGGCATTTCACCCCTATGCTATATCCCCAGACATTTGCATTTTTTATTCTGAGACAAGGTCTTGCTAAATTGCTGAAACTGATCTTGAACTTGAGATCCTCCTACCTCAGCTTCCAGTGTTGCTAGGATCACAGGCATATGCCACTGTACCTGGCTACTCTAGATAGAAGTTTCTGCTTTTTAAAAATATGCTTCTTTATTGGAAACTTCTCACATCTGGTACAAATAAGATGATCTAGCTGAGGCAAAAAAGAGAAATGTATGTCATAAACAAAAATTCAGGCCAGCTTACTCACCACCCGCCGCCCAATTTGTGAAAGTTTAACATTCCATATCCCTGAATTTGGAGACTCCTTCCAGCTCTCTTCAAACAATTCCAGTTTCTAAAGCAAAATTCAGTCTTAGTAAATAAATTTGTCAGTTTCCTAGAGCACTCAGTTCTATTCATTTAATGCTTTTTAGCAAATCTAGGGTCTGAAATGACCCAGTTGAGAACACATTCTTTTATTCTGAAGCTAAAAAAGTAAATGCATTTTGATTCTGTTCATGAAGTTACAATTACTTGGTTTTGCAACCATAAAAAAAATTCTGTTGACTGCCAGCAGCTTGTTTAAAATCATGAATTCAGAACTATATGTTTCAACCTCTAAGATAGTGCCATCCAATAGAAATGCAGTATGAGCCACAAATTTTATTTTTTGTGGTATGGGAGAGTAAACCCAGAGCACTCTACCATTAAGGTATTTCCTTGAGTCTTTTTTATTTTTTGAGACAGAGATGCACTGGCTGGCCTCAAAATTTAGTCTTTCTGCTCCTGAGTAGCTGTTATTACAGACATATGCCACCAGCACAAATATAATTTTAAATCTTCTAGTACTTTAGCAACATCTTTAAACAGTAAAAACAAATAAATGAAATTAATTTTAAAAAATATTTTATTTTTCCCAAGATACCCAATACATGATCATTTCAACTTGAAATCAATATAAAAATATTATTAAGGAGATATTTTAAATTATTCAAAAATACTGATTCTTTACAATTGGGCATCTCTATTACACTTTCATTACATTTCAATTCAGACTGAGCATATTTTAAATGCTTAGTAGCCACATTTGATTAGTGGCTGTCATTCTGAACATAAGTGCTCCAGAGAATCTCTAACCAAACATCCTATGGCTAAAGAAATTTCCCAAAGCAAACATGATGGTGCATAACCATGGCTGTGGCAGGTGAGTGTGGCTTGGGTGAAAGCACTGCCAGTCTAACTTTCTTAACAAACATTGTTCTCCAATGTAAAAACCAATTCTATGTTTACAATTGGGAAACAAGAACGGATTTCAGCTAACAGGAAACATTCAGTATGTTGCCTGAGCTTCTGTGCTGAATTCTAAATATACATTTGCTCCTGGGGTTTATGGTGAGGCTTGACAAAAGGGGACAATCTCAAGAGATGTTCACTAAGATAAATGAGAAGCAATTACCAATTTTTTAAAACTTTTTGTTGTGAGATAATTATAAATAGACATACAGGTATAAGAAATAATACAGAGAGATCCCCTACATCCCCTAATGGTAACATCTTGTATCAGAACCACAATGTTGTTATGGATAAAGTTAGGCTACAGAACATTTCCATCCCTACCAGGTCCTTCACACCACCCTTTCATGGCCTACAATTAACTCCTAGCAACCAACTAGGTGTTCATTTTTATACTTCTATGATTCCAGGAATGGAATTATACAGTATGTAAACCTTTGTGATTGGTTTCTTTACTCAAGCACTATCTTTTAGAGATTTATCTAGGTTGCATGTATCACTTTTCTTGTGGTAGCATTTACTTGTATGGTTGTATGACAAGTTTGCTTAAGTACTTACAACAGATCATATACAGTTGCATGCTTAATTTTCTATTGTTTTCTGAGGTACTAGGGATCAAACTTAGGGCCTCACAAATGCTAGGTAAGCACTTTATTGCTGAGCTACACCCCCAGCCTACCATGTTTAATTTTTAAAGAAGCTGCCAGACTCTCTTCTGTTTTTCATTCTCACTTTGTATAAATGACCCAGTTTGTCCTCACTCCCACCAGCATATTATGGTTTGAAACTTATTAAATTTCAGTCATTCTGATAGACTAATGGCGCTATCTCAAGTGGCCTTAATTACATCACCCAAATAGCTAATCATAAATGAGCCTTTTGTGTGCTTATTTGCCATTTTATATCCTCTTAAGTTTATGTATTATGCCCATGTTCTAATTGTTTATTTTTTTACTGTTGCATTTTGAGAGTTCTATACATATTCCAGAAAATCTCCTTTGTCAGATATGTAATTGGCAAATATTTCCCCCTCTTTTCATCCTTAACAAGGTCTTTCACAGAGCAAATTTAATTTTAATGAATCCTAACTTGTCATTTTTTGCTTTTATGGGTCATGGTTTTGGTATCAACTCTAAGAATTCTTTGTCTCTTTGTCTCACTCTATGTCCTAAAGATTTTCCCCTATGATTTTTTTCCTTAAAATTTTTAATTTGAATATGCAATACATTTTGAGTTGATTTTTTTAAAATTTCTGTATTTTTTTATGTGGTGCTGAGGATCAAACCCTGTGCCTCACACATGCTAGGCAAGCACTCTGCCACTGAAGTAAAGCCCTAGCCCCTTGAGTTAATTTTTTTAATAACATATAAGACTTAAGTTTGATTTTTGTTTGGTTTGGTTTGTTTTTTGTTGTGGTGGTTGGTTGGTTGTTTCCCCTACAGATGTCCAATTGCTTCAGCAAAATTTGTTGTAAAGGATGTCTTTCCTCTACTGAATTGCTTTTGTACCTTTTTCAAAAATCTATCAGGCTTATTTATGTGGGCCTATTTTTGGTTGTCTTATATCCTCATTATCTATGTTTGTCTCTCTGCCAACAAACACCACACAATCTTGCTTACTGTAGTAATAAAACTTTTCTTGAAATAAACTAGACTGACTCTTCTCAAAAGTCATTTAGTAACTGACTTCTCTTCAAAAGTGTTTTAGCTGTTCTCATTCATTTCCCTTTCCATGTAATTCTTAGAATAATCGTGTTCATATCTATACAAAGAGTCCTTCTGGGATTTTGATAAGAATTATGTTAAATGTATACATCAGTTTAGAAAGAATTAATATGTTAAACCACGATGCAAAGAAAATACCACCAACTCCAATTTTAAATCAAATTAAAGCAAGCTTGTAATTCTGACTAGCTGGAACTGTCCCTCTCCGAAAATCCGTGGGATAGAAGACAGTACTCCAGCTCTCTAGGAGTGCAGCTTTATAGCACAGAAAGTTGCAAAAAGGGAGGTGTCTTGAGAACTTCCGATAACAGGATTTTGTCAAGCATAATACAAAGGCAGGTAGTAGGTTAATGGTCTAAATGGTTCAGTACTTAGGGAGTAAATTTAGATCCCAACATCAGAATTTAGGAGGCACCATTAGGGTTTCAGAGAGGGTTGTTATCTGGTCATGGAAAGCCAGAATTTATGAGGCGCCACTAAGGTTTCAGAGAGGGTTGTTATCTGGTTAGGGAAAGCCAGGCATGGATGAGTTCAAGGCACGGGCAGGCATTCCAAACAAGTTTAAAACATCAAAATACAGCCAGGCCAAATAGAAATCCTAATATTTTACAGAAAACAGAAATGAATCTTTTATAACTTTTGACAAGATGGCTCCTGACTTAAGAGGGAATTAGGCTGGGCTTATCAGATACTTTACTATGTTGTATTTTTATTCCATGAACATGGTGTGTCTCTCCATTTATTTAGCTTTTCTTTGGTCTCTTTTATCATCTCTGTGTAGCTTTCAGCATACAGATCCTATGCATGTCCTTTTACAAAGTCATACTTCACAGAACAATGTTTTAGTCAATGATGGATTGCATATACATGGTGGTCCCATAAGATGTATCACCTAGTGATGTCATAGCTGTTTTCATATTTGTAGGTACACTCTATGATGTTTACACAATTAAAAAAATCACCTAAGAACACATTTCCTAGAATGTATGCCACAACTATGCCTAACTTTACTTACATATAGAGCAGTACTTAACTCTATTTACACATAAGTATTTTGGCTTTTGAGCAATTGCAAATGGTGTTGTATTTTTAATTTTTGTGTCTCTATATTTTTAATATACACACATACACATATATATTATATATATGCAGTTGATTTATGTATGTCTATCTTGTATCCTATGATCTTGAAATAACATAAATTCTAGAAAATTTTTTTGTAGATTGCTTGGGAGTTTTGAGGACAGGCAGAACTGGTAGATTCAAAAAAGGTCTGGTGATATGGTTCAGTGGCTAAGTGCTCCTGGGTACAATCCACAATACAAAAAAATAATAAATAAATAAATAAATAAAATTATGAAATTAAAAAAAGAGTGCTGCTGAATTATCCCCTTGCTGGGAATTATCTACTTTGACCATGGCCAACTCCACCACCAAATATCTAGTCAGGTTTCCATGAGAACATGTAATTTGCATTCAGGAGGGCCATTCAGGAGTAGTTTGGCAATAAACTGCCCAGTTCAGACATCTTAAGCATAAAGATATCCAAAATAAAAGATTTTTCGGAACCAATAAAGTTTATTTTTAAATTTTCAATTTTAACTAGTAGTCCACAGGTAAGTGGCTAGGTGGTGTATATCAAGCGAATGAACTCTTTCATTTTGAAATATATAGAAACATCATTGGCCTAGAAATTGTTTTCTTCAAACTATAAAGCTGTGTCACATGTGATCTTCAGATACCAGCTTATCTTCTCCTTCCTTTTGCTCCCCTACAGGAAGTTGTGGCTCACTGGATTGCTGAGAGCCGAATTGCCATCGAGGAGATCCGCTTGTTGACCTTGAAAGCCGCCCACAGCATAGATACTCTGGGCAGCACTGGTGCCAGAAAGGAGGTGAGGCTCCCTGGACCACTAACTGCAGAGACTTTTTCATTTTCTCCCATCCGTTGTGCATTTCAGGTTTTAAGACACTTCAGTGGCTCTCAAAATATTGGAAGCCTTCAGTAATTATGGTTTAAAGATTATAAATATCTATTATTTGCTAGTTTTCATAGGGCTGCTTTAAGGGATGATTTTGAGGGATGCAGAATATCTTCAGCTTTCTTGATATGCAGTAACAAGGAATGGGGAAATTCTAGGCTTTATATAGACCTGGAATTAACAGTACTCACTATGCCACTTTCTGCTAGCCTGTGACCATGGGCAAAGTAACTGATCTTTCTGCTTTGGCCCAGGGTTCTTGAGGAGAGTAACCAAGGTGATACATATAGAATACACAGGACAATTCTGCCACATAGTAATGTTTCACAAAGGCACCTCTTGCCACTGCCTTCCTTCTGGCTTATATGGGATAAGGACATGTCATTTATTTCTAAAAGCCCATAAAATCACTAAGAGAAAACTGAGTAGTGGAGTGATGACCCTTGAACTCTTTTTATGACCCCAATCATGATGAGTGTAATTTATGAGCTGCCTGAAATCCTTTTGGAAATGAGGCAAGTTATAAATAAATGAATAAAACATGACTTGGAAGAGATAGCTCTTTCCAGAAGGTCTGCATTGACTGAAATATGGCCACTAACTACATTATAACAAATCTCATTGTTGGCTTTCACCAAAGATCTTGTTTTAGTGGTGATTTGCTGTGGGAAATTTTCCTTATTTCAATTCACAGAGGAAAATACAGATTTTATCAAATTCTGGCTCTGTGTGTATGGTCTAAAAAAGCATTCTTGCATATCTTGCTATTGTAGATTGCAATGATCAAAGTGGCTGCCCCACGGGCCGTCTGCAGGATCATTGACCGAGCCATCCAAGTGTGTGGAGGTGCAGGCGTCTCTCAGGATTTCCCTCTGGCTAACATGTGAGTGGATATAGAATATTTAATTAAAAATATATCAAAACCTTGACACTGATTGTTTAGGAAGAAAATAAAGATACTTACTTTACAGCATAATTGAAGGCTTAATGAAGTGATACTGGGACTTTTAATATAGACCTCAGCACCAAGAGATATTTGACTCATAATTACAATCATCAGCTCATTCTGACATGTTAAATTTCACACCAAGACATAGCATGGAGATCTACCCAGAAATACGAAGGTGGGGAGTACCAGAGAGAGCCAAACAGCTGAGAGCCAACTCTATGTGTATGGGACAAGTCACCAGCCACACAGGGAACCAGCAGCTGCACTTGCAGCAGAGAATGCCAGTGGCCATGAAATAGCCAGATTCTCATTACAGGGAGGTTAGAAGAAGCATTCTCCATCCACTATCTGTCCCCACACATGGCCACAGTGCACCTGGTCTATCGCACTGGAAGTAGGGTCTCACCTTCCATGGATTTTTAGCCTTAAGAAAGAACAAAACATATGCTGTAATACCATTTGCTACCTGTATCTTACTTAAGACACCTCTTAGCTCTTCCAAGTTCTGGTAACATGTGGCAAACCAAGAATGAGATTAACCCCACTGGTTCAAGCCCAGAATCTGCATGGGGAAAGGAGGTGGCAGGAACTACAGCACCCTCTCTGTGTTCCTTACATCCAGTTCTGACAGCAGTGCATAGCCAGATGGCAGGGTAGCAACAGGAACCAATCACAGTGTTCCTCTTTGCCATTTTGGTGCAGTGGTGGCTGAAGTCAGGTAAAATTCCTCTTGGTCCCTTTTTGCCGTGCACACCTGGGTTTACAGTGGCTGCTGGATCCATGACTTTTTCACAAGTCCTTTATCTACAGTGCACATGTGAGGGCGAGGCAATGGCTGGACCCACTCTTGCCCAAGGCCCCTCAGCTCATCCCTGTGGTCTGAGCAGTCGCAGGAACTATAGTTTTCCCTCCTTGCTCTATCAGTAGTAGGTGAAACTGGCCCAGGTAGACGGCATCAGCAAACTGCACGGGCATCTGCCTTAAGTCCTGGAATGGTGTGAGTCTCCCAGCAGCTGGCCATACCCTTGGACTCAGAGGGCAAGTGCCTCCAGCCTGTAGTTCTCAAGGGCACCAACCTCCACTCTCCCCATTTTGCAACACCAGTCCCCTGCAGAGCAGGGCAGCTCTCAGGCTTTGTCACTGTCACTCTGCTGCACCAAGCTGGGGGTTAATGAAGCGACTACCTTCTGAGCCAGTGCAGTGGAACGTCTGTGGGCTCCCAGGGTGGGCATGTGTAGGTTTCTGAATCCTAGATCAGTCCAAATTCAGACCACAGCTCCCTTCTCAAGATGGCTCCTGGCCACAGCACCGTGAGTTCACTAGGAGACGATGTGAAATCCTTTCCAAAGCAAGGCCACTGTGCAGATTTCAGCTTACCTATCTAAGTGGGCTTCAAGCCTGTGAGGTTATGAGCCTTTCTAGTAGCTAGGATTGCCAGCATCCTCATTAATAGAGTGTGCTGGAATTCTTCCTTTCACCCTGACCCTGCAGAGTCATGATGGTTGATACTGGGTTTTTTTGCTTTTATCCCAGGTCTCTACATTTCCCAAGGTTCCATTTCCTCTTTGCCAATCTCTAGTGGTCTCTCAAAATCACTCACCTCAAAATGCACTTGTTCACCTGTTGCTAGAGTTCTCTGTAGAGGAGTGAGTACTGCCACCTCTATTTAGCCATCTTGAATCCTCCCAAGTTAGGAACTTTAAAATAGCATCTTGGAAGTCCTTTGGCTTACTCCCTTCATTTTAATTGCATTCCTTTTCTTATTCCTGCTGTATTGGAATTAATCTTGGTTTAGAATTATTATTTCATTAAATTATCATGTTCCTCTTTGACACCTCCCACAAATCCCTGCTCTTTTGTTTTTATCAGGTATGCATTAACACGAACTCTGCGCCTAGCAGATGGACCCGATGAAGTGCACCTCTCAGCAATTGCCAAGATGGAGCTACAGGACCAAGCCAAAGCGCAGAGAGCCAAGATGTGAGGAAGGCAACACCACTCCATCCCCAGGGTAGACGCATTCCTTAATCAGCTCCAACGTTTGAGTCTCACATTTTTGTAACAGATTGAGAACAGGGTTAGTTTTCACTTACGGTAAAGATTTTAGCCTCTATTTTGATCAGTGAGTTTTATAATTTCAAGGGTCACACAGATATAAGTTGGAAAATCTGTAGCTGTTCTTAGGTCTAGTAACTAAGTGGTTTAGTATTTGCTTTTAAGTGCAACTTATAATGAGATCATAAAATAATGGAGAATTATTTCTAAAACATTTCCTGTGTGGCATAAAAATGGTTTGATGTTTTGAATTTTAGGAATTAATATAAGTAAATAACTTCAATAATATTTCATCCTGCTTTTAAAAACATATAGTTGGATCTCTTTTAAACACTATTTTTAGAGGGGTTAGTTTGAAATCGTGCCATAAAGTTTGCACATGGCTATATGGGATGTTTAGAATCCATGCAATTCTAACTTCTTCATAATACAGCCTGGAGCACTTGTCTTCCATCTGAATGCAGCTGATAGTTTACAAGAAAACATGGCAAATTTTGAGAAAATATAACTAAGAACCATTTTACTTGCTTATAAAATGTTAATGAGAACAGTGGACAGATTGAGCTGCAAGAAAGTTCTTCTGTTTTGTTAAGAGGTTAAAGACAGTCTGCTCTGAGTGGCCCAGGAGCAGCAGCAGCCTGTGCAGACATCCTTGTGGCAGTTACGTCAGCTGTCACACACAGTATAGTTGTCGGCCATGTGTGACTTCTGAGCACCCTAAATGTAGCTAATGAAACTGAGGAACCCCCAGGCACAGTGGTGCACACCTATAATCCCAGCTGTTCAGGAGGCTGCGGCAGGAGGATTGCAAGTTCAAAGCCAGCTTCAGCCATGGTAAGGCCCCAAGCAACTCAGTGAGACCCTGTCTCTAAATAAAACACAAAATAGGGCTGGGGATGTGGCTCAGTGGCTGAGTGCCCCTGAGTTCAATACCTGGTACCAAAAGGAAAAAGAAACTGAGGAACTGAATTGTTAATTTAAAAAAAATTAAATTTAGTTATTAGGGGAAAACTTTTAAGTATGCTTAGAATGACTTGATTATGTGAATCTACTTTTTCAACTGTAAATTTAATGAAATCTTAATACAGAGAAAGTATGTTGAATCAAAATTTGGCATCCAAAGAAGAAAACAGAGTAAGTGTGAAATGTACACCAGATTTTGAAAACTTAGCATGAAAAAATCTCAATACCTTTTTATATTGATTACATATCAAAATAATAACTTGGAAATATTGAGTTAAATAAAATATATTATTAAAAATTATTTCACCTGTTTCTTATTACATTTTTGTGTGAATATCATTGCAATAGTAACTGATCAAGTTTTAAATTTTCAAATAAAAGGTTTTTCCCCTAAAACCTTTTAAGTTTGTTTTATCAGAACACATATACATCCCATGAATTTAATGATGTCCTTAGATGCTTTCCATCATGATTTAAATTTCTCCTTGGGTGAGTGTGGAGGTGCAGGAATTTGACCAGCCCTGGGCTGGGGTCCCCTGTGTGTGGTGAGGTCCTCTGCAACATCTGCCCTGTTACCCTCTGTATAGCTCATTTTCTTTCTCCACATTGAGATGAAGTTTTTAATCCTAGAGGACCCTCACCTATCAAGGGCCTATTGTGAGAAACACTGAAGCCATATAGAACATCTGGAAATTAGTTAACATAATACTACTTTATAAGGTCTCCTTATTTGATGTGGAGCAAATCCTGTAACCTTATTACTAATTTGCAAAGTTGTAATTTAGAAGAAATCAGGATTTTTTTGAATAATTGGCTTTAAAGATTATGCCCAATACTAGTAATCTTGTGATTTTTCTCTCTTTAAAGAAAGCTGGCTAAATTAGTTATTTGTTTCAGTTATCGACTGTCCTGTACGTACCACACTCTAAGGCAGATCACTTTGTGTCATCAGTACTTACCTCTTTCCCTACCTTTATTTATTTAGATAAAATCATGTTAAAAAGAACAGTATGTTTTGTTTTGTTTTGTTTTTGAAAGGGGAAAAAAGTCTCCAAATTATAAAAACAAAGAGAACAAGGGTCCCTTTGCCCTGGTCATGGTGGGGAGAGTGTACTGACTAGAATCTTGTGAGCCTCAGGCCATTTCTAGGGCTCTGTCTCTGCAGGCTGTTGCCAGGAGTCACTGAGCAACAGTCCTCTTAGGGTAGTGTGCTGGCTTTGCCATGTGTTAGGAACCACATGGTTTTAAAATGAGAAGTTTTTGCAGGAAGAGAGGAGGGAGAATGGGCTTCCCAGTCAGGGCTTCCCCCATCAAGATCCCTCCAAGATTTCCCTTGTGGCTGGTTGCAGGAGAGGAGGAGCCTCCAGACTACCAGACAGGGAAGACACAAGAGGCACCACACAAAAAGGCTTCGGCAAAACAGTTAGGATGCACGAAGGGAGAGGGTGATTGTGCAGGGGAGTAGCCAGCAAGGGATCTCCAATATTTGAAGTTTTTAACTTTGAGAAGGCACAACTATGGAGGAAGCGGTTTCCTCATCCACCTGTGGCTATCTATAAAGGCCTCCATCATCCCAGCTGTTCCCATACAGCTGTGGTCCACACTACAAGGATGCTCACACATTGTTGAAGAGAATGACAGTGGGGGACAAGCAGCCAAGTCCAAAGTGGCAGGTAGGTCTTTGAACAGAGAAGTTGTAAACTCACCTCTCACCAGCAATGTCACACGCAGATTGAAAGGGAGAAGAGTGGAGGATGATACTGCATGCAAATAGAATCCAGTAAGTGGCACAAGGCTTGCCAAAACCCACTTTTCTCCTTGTTCTTGAATCAAGATTTAACAGTCTCTGAAAAGGTCAGAGGAAAGGCACTTTTTTTTTTTACTCAGACTTCCTACGGAATTCTTAAAGAATATTATCAAAAGAAATGTATTCGTGAAAACGTCTACCATGAAAAAATGTCCTATTTCTCCAGCCTTCTTCTTTTTTTTTTTTTCGGTCTTTGGTCTGCACTACAGCAGTAGGTCTAACTGGACTTCTGGTCTGTTTTCACAGCAGAACTGCCAGCTGCAACAAGCCTCTTGTGTTTCCGCAGCTTTTATCTCAAAATAAATTAACAGTCCTTGCTTTGGTTCCATCTGAGCTTATCCCCTGACAGTTCTTTGATCTCCCCAACATGGCCCACTCCATCATGGTCTCCTGGCTGCTGTTCTAGCACACAAACATAGCCAGGCCTGGAGCCTCGTTCTGACTCTCCTCTCCTGAAGGTTTCCAGACGCCTGCTCAAAAGCCACCTCAGAGTGTCCTTTCTTGACCACTGTTCTGATCATATTTCACATGCTGTCATTCTCCGCCTCCTTACCTGCCTTTCTGTTCTCACAGCACACACTACCTTGCACATATCTATCTACTCATGGTCTCTCTTCTCACCAGAGCGTAAGGCCCTTCCAAATTTCATTTCCGTCACTTTTCTGTGCACTAATGTCTCCTTGATCCCTGAAACCGTGCCTGACATCTTCACCCTTTACTCATGCTCGTTTTGGGGGGGTGAAGATATGCAGAGAAAAGTCTGTTTCACAGAGCTGGCTGAGGCATTTAAAAAAAGAATGAAGGAATGTGTGAAAGAGTGGTCATGCATGCTCTGCTGGTCCCTGGTTTGTAGCACAGCAATGGTGAGAGGCAAAGCATCCATTTATAAACCCCCGAAGAGCCAAAGCTTGATCCCTGGCATGTGAACACAGGTTGGGCAGCAGACCTGGAATGGATCAGCCGCTGGAGGAAAACTAAGTCTAAGGAGGAGCATCAGTGCCTAGAGTGGGGGTGCCCAGCAGTTTGAGCAAGTCTACCGGTGAAATAGAAGTTCAATGAGTATTTAACAATCCAGGAGAATATGGATTGTTAAATACTCATTGAATATTAAATATTAAAATATTGTATTTAATTAATGTTTGATATAAAATATTAAAATATTTAATATTTAAAATATTAAATATTTTATCCTGATGTCTAATCAGCCAGAGGGCTGTGATCCGCTCTAGGCACAGAGGGAAGTCAGGACACCTAAGAGAAACAGAACCACTTCTGGTGATTGTTAGAATTTTCCAATTTTCCTAATAAGCAGAATTCTGGGAAGTGTCCTCCCTTAATTCAGGGTGGACAAAAAGCATTTAGGATTTATGATCCTACCATAATATTTTTATTTGTTCCTTTTTTTCAGCACCACTTTCTCACACAACCATGTGTGTGTGTGTTTATCCTGGAGAAAATGCCTCACTTGGGGGACGCCCTAAATGAGCACTGGCCAAATGGAGAACAGCTACACAGGCAGGCAGTGCTGCCCAGCCTCCTGCACCCTTGGGTTGATGACTCACCCTGGATGATTCTTCTCTTTCACGTTTTAAAAATGGTGAAAGAGGAGACTGCAGACACCCCTCCCTCCACCAGCCTTCTCCCTCTGCCTTTAATCTCTGCTGCTCTTTTTCCTTACTCCACACCAGCTGACTGTCCAGCTAGTCCTCCAATATCCCAGGTGTTTTTCTTGTTGGAAATAAGGAGGTGCCACAAGAAATCACACACCTGTTTGAACATGGGTGGACAAGGGCTGGGTGGTGCTGGCTCAGTGGCAGAGCACTCGCCTAGCATGTGTAAAGCACTGGGTAGGATCCTCAGCACCACATTAAAAAAGAAAGTAAATAAAAAAAAAAAAAAAGTGGGGCTGGGGTTGTGGCTCAGCGGTAGAGCACCAGTCTTGCAAGTGCGGGACCCTGGGTTGGATCATCAGCACCACATAAAAAAATAAATAAGTGAAATAAAGGTATTGTGTCCAACTACAACTAAAATATAAATATTAAGAAAAGTGGGTGGGCAAAGCAAATCTTTACTTCTGGCAGAAGGGCACATAGCAAGCGCACCTGGGCAGGCAGCCCACCTGCTTAAACCTCTACCTTAACTCAGCGCTGTCCTTCATTCTGACTGGAGGAGTTTGGGGTTACAATCGATGCAATCAGCTGATTTTAGAATTAGCGTGGGCAAAAGGCGAAGGCTACAATTGGATCCAATGAGAGCTAAATACTATATTCTGAAAACGGACCATCAGCTTTTCTATTTCTCATATTTGTTACCTTGGGGTCTTTGCAGAGGCGTTAGTTTACCTAGGAAGCTCTCTGCACCCCCTTCCCTATCTTTAAGGCTTACTCCTTTCCTGCCAATGTAACTCTCTAGGGATTCCTTCTGTGACCATCCACCAGCTAAATTTCAAACCCTCTTAACACCCACACATAGACCTCTAACCCTCCTCCTCTACTTTGGTTGTCTACTCAAAATTTTCCACCATGTGACATACTATGTATTTTTCTTTTGCTTAGTATTCCCTCCTCTCCTAGGAAAACGTATACTTTAGCGGAGAGGGGATTTTGTCTGTTTTGATCACAACACTAGTAGCTGGAACAATGCCTGCCATATCCATAATAGTTCCTCTATATTTCCTGAACGCAGTCGTGCACCCAGCTGCAGGAGGACCGGGGTCCAAGATGGCTGATTAATCTCTACGTCTAATGTGTGGTCACACAGCCTCAGGCTTACTCATGGGCCTTACAGACTTCTGGCAGAAGGGCACACTAGCAAGCGCACCTGGGTCCTAAAACAGAGTTTTTGTCCTGGCTCAGCATCAGAAGGTCAACATAGCCTCAGCTGCTCCTGCCCCAGCTTTTGTGATGGTGACTTCAGTGATAACAAGATTCAAAGTGACCTGGGGGCTGAGGGTAGAGACTTGCTTCCTGACAAATCTTGATCTTCGTTTCAGGTAGGTGCATGGCTGAAATCATCAGAAAAAGGCCAATGGGAGCCAAAGGAATCGCCTGTGTGGAACTGGGAGTGGGAGGGGGAGACTGAGGAAGTCTGGAGGGTCTCACCCAGATCAGGTAGCAGCTGGACCAGAGAGCAACCCGAGCAGGCTGATGGGACAGCCAACCTACAGTGGTGACCTCCATCTGGCCTTGCCCACCAGTTCTCTCCTTCCTTGCCTGACTTGCTCAACTCTGAGGAATGTGTAGTTGGCCAAACTGGGTTTACGGGCCTGTCCCATGTTGTCCAAGAAAAAAAAAAAGCTCTTCCAGTACTATGAATAGAAATATAATGCAAGCCACATGTGTAATTTAAGACTCTAGGAGAGGACAAGATGGGTGGAGAGCAGAGAAAACAAGGGACTCCAAGATGGCTGAATCGAGGTGGCCAGTACTCACTGGCTCCTCCACAAAGAACCAAAACAACAGGCTAATTGGTGCATTTTGAGGTGAGTGATCATA